AAAAAAAAAAAAAAAAAAGAAACAAAAACAAAAACAAAACAAAACAAAAACGAAAAGAAAGAAAAAAAAAAAACAAACAAAACAAAAACAAAGACAGACAAAAATAAACCGAAATTAAAAACCGAAACACCAGCCTCACGCCATACCATGTCTCGCTCCGTGCCTCCCCGGTCCAGAGTCCCTCGTCGAGCTACTCCCATAAGGATACATTTCGTGACGAGGAAAGAGGAAAGAGTCCCGGGCGAGTCCTTGGTGAGTCTGGCGAGTCCTGGTGAGTCTGGCGAGTGAGTCCGAGAAGTCTGGCGAGTCCTGGTGAGTTGAGAGAGTCTGGGCGAGTCCTGGTGAGTCGAGTCCTGGTGAGTCTGGGCGAGTCCTGGTGAGTCGAGCGAGTCCTGGTGAGTCTGGCGAGTCCGGGTGAGTCTGAGCGAGTCCTGGTGAGTCTCAAAGTCCGAGAATCAGCCTGTTGATGCATAGAAGGGAAGAGAGAGAGAGAAAGAGGCATGAGACAGAAACAAAGACACGGCCACAAAGAACAAACAATCTAGACAAGACAGACCAAGACAAAAACTAGAAACAAACAAAAAAACAAAAAAGAAAAAAAAACAAAAAATGAAAAAAAGAAAGAAAAAAAAAAAAAAAAAAAAAAAAAGAAACAAAAACAAAAACAAAAAAAAACAAAAAAAAAAAGAAAGGAAAAGAAAACCAAACAAAACAAAAGACAGACAGAAAAATAAACCGAAATTTAAAAAACCGAAACACCAGCCTCACGCCATACCATGTCTCGCTCCGTGCCTCCCCGGTCCAGAGTCCCTCGTCGAGCTACTCCCATAAGGATACATTTCGTGGACGAGAGGAAAGAGTCCTGGGTGAGTCCGAGCGAGTACCTGAGTGGTGAGTCTGGGTGAGTCCTGGTGAGTCTGGGCGAGTCCTGGTGAGTCCGGGCGAGTCCTGGTTGAGGTCCGGGTGAGTCTGGGCGAGTCCTGGTGAGTCTGGGCGAGTCCTGGTGAGTCTGAGCGAGTCTTGGTGAGTCCGGGCGAGTCTTGGTGCAGTCTGGCGAGTCCTGTGTGATCCGGCGAGTCTGACGAGTCCGGGGCGCGTCCTGGTGAGTCTGAGCGAGTCCGGGCGAGTCTGAGCGAGTCCTTGGCGAGTCGGGCGAGTCCGAGCGAGTCCTGGTGAGTCTGGCGAGTCCTTGTGAGTCCGGGTGAGTTTGGGACGAGTCTGGGCAGTCTAGTGAGTCCGGTGATGTTTGGCGTCCTGGTGAGTCGGGCGAGTCGAGCGAGTTTTGGTGAGTCTCAAAGTCCGAGAATCAGCCTGATAGGCATAGAAGGGAAGGAGGTGATCGTCTTAATCCAGCGATGATAATGATAACGGTGATGCTGATAAGGAAATAATAACAGCAATAATGGTAGTTGATGCAATAACAATGATGATGACAATGAACATAACCAATTACAACGAAGATAATAGTTATGGTATACGTAGTTACTGTAATAAATATGATTAAGACAACTACAACAACTATCAAAATAAAATTCATAATAAGGATTATAATGATAATCATTATCACGACAATGATAATGATGATAGCAATAATTACAGTAATGATAATGATAATAATAATGATAATGATAATAATAATAATAATGAATTATTAATAACAATAATAACAACAATAGTATGAACACATAATCTCGCCGATCAGGATTCGATCCCTCGCCGCCGTTGCAGGCAGGTATCTGCAAGACGACCACTCTACCACTCGTACACGGACCACTAAAAGAGTGTGCAACTAGGAGCTAACTAGCATCCATAGACATTACCTACCAACACATACATGATTAAGGATAGCGAAGTTTTACACTCACTCAACGTGGACACTCGGTAGATATAGATAGAGCAGTTTCAAATCCCAAATTCCAGAAACCTGAGGTGTATTTTATGAAAGATGGAATAATGCACTGAGGTCCGAATCATGAATGTTAAATCAATGTTTTCACGATCATAAACAATAGAATTATCATCTTAACCATTATGACAGTGATATCTATCTGTCTACATAGATAGATAGATAGATAGAGGGATGTACTATTAATCCCCTAATAATTCTGATATTAAAGTAACCAAAATGATTTTATCACACTCAAGAAAGAAGCTTTATTAAAACTTTGCTCTCTCTCTCTCTCTTTCTCTCTTTCTTTCTCCTCTCTCTCTCTCTCTCTCTCTCTCTCTCTCTCTCTCTCTCATCTCTCGTCCTCTCTCTCTCTCTCTCTCTCTCTCGGTATTTCTGTCTCTACTCTACTATTCTATTTATCTGTATATCTAATGTTATCTTTTTATCTTTATATCTATCTATTTATCTCTCTCTCTCTCTCTCTCTCTTCTCTCTCCTCTCTCTTCTCTCTCTCTCCTCTCCTCTCTCTCTCTCTCTCTCTCTCTCTCTCTCTCTCTCTGTCTCTCTCTCTCTCTTATTCTATCTCTCCTATCTCTCTCTCTCTCTCTCTCTCTCTCTCTCTCTCTCATCTCTCTCTCTCTCCTCTACTCTCTCTCTCTCTCTCTCTCTCTCTCTCCTCTCCTAAATCTCGCACTCTTTAATTCTATTTACATCTCTTAATGTTATCTTCTATCTTTATATATCTATCTCTCAATTTATCTCTCTCTTCTCTCTCTCTCTCTTCTCTCTCTCTCTCTCTCTCTCTCTCTCTTCTCTCTCTCTCCCTCTCCTCCTCCTCTCTCTCTCTCTCTCTCTCTCTCTCTATCTCTCTCTTCTTCTCTCTCTCTCTCTCTTTCAGTCTCTACCTCCTCTTCTCTCTCTCTCTCTTCTCTCTCTCTCTTCTCGCTCTCTCTCTCTCTCTCTCTCTCTCTCTCTCTCTCTCTCTCTCTCTCTCTCTCTCTCTCTCTCTCTCTCTCTCTCTCTCCTCTCTCTCTCTCTCTCTCTCTCCTCTCTCTCTCTCTCTCTCCCTCTCTCTCTCTCTCTCTCTCTCCTCTCTCTCCTCTCTCTTCTCTCTCTCTCTCTCTCTCTCTCTCTCTCTCTCTCTCTCTTCTCTCTCTTCTCTCTCGTATTCTGTCTCTACTCTACTCTATCTATTTCTGTATATCTATGTTATCTTTATATTTATCTATCTCTCTCTCTCTCTCTCTCTCTCTCTCTCTCTCTCTCTCTCTCTCTCTCTCTCTCTCTCTCTCTCTCTCTCTCTCTCTCTCTCTCTCTTCTCTTCTCTCCTCTACTCTCTCTATTTTACCTCTATTTTCTCTCTTCTATCTTTCTCTCTATCTCTCTCTCTCTCTTCTCTCTCTTCTCTCTCTCTCTCTCTCTCTCCTCTCTACTCT